ATGGGTCATTTTGACCCCACCCTATTATAAAGACAATAATTTTTGAAGTTTATTACATATGGGTCATTTTGACCCACCCTATTATAAAGACAATAACGTGCATAATACTTTCATTATGGGCATATTTTTTAGATCACGTCACACGGATTGAGTGAGTAGTGTTGAAAACGTTACTTTCTTATCATGGTAAACGAATACATCTGGCATAAAAAACATAGCTAATAATCCAAATTTTGATAATATATGTTTTAAGTTCTTAATTTTATAGGACAATATTAAAAAAAAAATCCTGAATTTCACCTAGTGAGAAAATTATGACATTTGCTCTTTAGGCATCTGCACTTAATAGATTTAGATATTATGCAAATGAAATTTGAGATTTTTCAGGTGAAAAAAAAGACTTTTAATGATTACTGAAAGCTTGAGAAATTTTGTGAAGATACACAGAACATGTTAGATGTTATAGTTTGGGATTACGAACGTTGCCAATTCCACCGAGTCTGTTGTGAGAGAGTTATAGCTATTTTGGGATATTTTCCTACTAAACAGACTTGTATTTTCATGAGGTTTTGGTTATCAATAGACTGTCCCTATCTTCTAACTTCTGTAAACTAATAACCTCCTGCTTGTTTTAGGCCTCAAAATGGTCCATGGCTGTACTATTTGGAGAATGATGCAAAGAGTGAACTCTATCGAACCAATGTTCCCAATTGGTTTACTTTAAATCCATTTTTACCGGTGAGTATATGACAGATTTGTGTTTTTATAACAAAACAACTTTGAGAAAAAATACTATAGTTTAATATTTTATTGTAAAACACTAATTGATGCTGTCAATAATATTGGAATTTTGAGCTGAAATGCATTGACACAAAAGGAAAAACAATTTTGACAAGTTTGAATTCTCTTGTGAAAGTTTTTTTCTGATGTAAATAATCAGGAACATATTATTATAAGCTAATATGAAAAATTGGTAGTTTTTATCCAGTTATTGAGTCATCATCAAATTATGTAGCAAGGTGCCAGAGGTGTTGTGTACTATTGTATTTTTACATTTTGCTGTTTTTACAATAAGTGTATTTCATTATCGTTCCATTTTCTATGTTTACAGTACAAATATAGACAGATAAGTAACTTTTGACTTTTACTGTTGTCAGGGTATTTTAATATTACAATTCTATTTTGTAGGGTGAATAGTAATTATTTTTGTTGTTGTCAGGGTATTTTAACATTACAATACTATTTTGTAGATTGAATAGTAATTATTTTTGTTGTTGTCAGGGTTTGTAATATTAAAATTACTATTCAACCTACAAAATAGTATTATTTTTTGTTATTGTCAGGGTATTTTAATATTACAATACTATTTTGTAGGTTGAATAGTAATTATTTTTTGTTGTTGTCAGGGTATTTTAATATTGCTACAATACTGTTTTCTAGGTGGTAAATAGAAATATAATAGTTATATTTTTATTGTTATTATTTATTGTGTGTGTGTGTTGACACATACATTTTGACAATTTTCTAAAATATTCACCGGCTATGAAATCAGTATCCATTTTCCAGAAACAATAAATATGTTTCATTATTTTGAAATCTATACAGTTCAGATAAACACGTTACAGTTTTTAGTGCTCCTGGTACAGACCTGGCATGAACTGGTGGTTAGGGCACTCGACTCGCAGTTTGTGATTGTGGGATCAAATCCCTATCACTGAACATGCTCTCTCTTTCAGCTATAGGGGCATTATAATGTGATGGTTAATCCCACTGTTCATTGGTAAAAGAGTAGCCAAAGAGTTGGTGGTGTTGACTAGCCTTCCCTCTAGTCTGTCACTACTGAATTAAGGATGGCTAGTGCAGATAGCCCTTGAGTAGCTTTACGAGAAATTCAAAGCAACCAAACCTTATAGACTGATTGTTCTCCCTATTGATACGTATCAAGTGTTTGGATGGCTGGTGACAGATTAGTAATCCCCAACTTTAACCAAACTAAAAATACTGTTTTTAACGTACAAGCTACTGTTATCTTCTTTAACAATAAACTATTTTGGTATTTTAT